GGCCGGTTGCGATGCATACGATACATGGCACTATTGTTCAGGAGCCAGCAACGGGCCGCGTATTTACTAAACATAAACTATTACAGCACAAGACACGCCCCCTACTACGGCATTGCAAAATATAATCGAGCCCAGCACAATCCTGCAAAATCTAATCTTTGACAGCACAACGTAGCTGATTCATATAAATAAATCGATTGAAAAAGTAGCACATACCACCCCAATCAGCCAAAGTACGTCTTAAAGGCGTCTTTAAGACGTACATGTCGGGACATAAGTACGTCTTAAAGACGTACATATTACGCCCAAGAGACGTCTTTAAGACGTCTTTAAAACGTACATTTTTCACTAATATGTACGTCTTTAAGACGTCTTTTTTAGGTGTTTTTGGTCCATGACATCAAATTGATCTTTCAAATAACGGAAAAATCACATAGTTTCAGTTAATTTTCACCTGTGCACTGAAGTTAGCAACAAGTGCGAACAAGCAAAAAAAAAAGGAAAATAAACGACTTCATCAAACGGTAGACACAAGCGGTCACCCATTCAAGTACTAACCGCGCTCTTTGTTGCTTGACTTCGATGATTATACCATACTCACTTCTTCTGTTACTCTGTTTGTTCTATACAGGGTGTTTCAAAATTCAGTATCAAGATTTTAGGGGCGTATTTTTCAGGTCAAAATAAGACGTTTTTGTCCATAAACATGTGTCCGCAAACGCTTCGTAACCGATCTACAGAGCGTTAAAGTTTCAAGATTTTTTTATTTTTTTCTTCATAGCTCTTTCAATTTTTGAGATATTAAGATCAAATTTGGAATGTAGGTTACGTTCTAGGGCTTACATCATCCAGCATGCCGAGTGATTGTGAGAATCTACAGGGAGATATTTTTTTCAGGGGTCAAGCCCTTTTTTACCCCATAAACTTTTTTGTGGTGCGCCGCTGGTGAATTCTGAGATACGAAATGAATTCTTTGTTTTGTTTATAAATTTTTTTGTCTCTTGTAATTTTCACGCATCTGCGATCGTTATCGAGAAAAAAGTAAAATCAATTTTTGTGATTTACATTTAATTAAAATTTTCAACGGAACAATGAAAAAGCGAATTAGTGGGCTTCGACTGCTATTTTCATTTTGACGTTTAGGTTTGTTTTGAAGCATTTGACATTATTTGAAAGTTGGTGGATGTCTCATCGTGTATTTGTTTAACTTTAACGCTCTGTAGATCGGTAACGAAGCGTTTGCGGACACATGTTTATGGACAAAAACGTCTTATTTTGACCTGAAAAATACGCCCCTAAAATCTTGATACTGAATTTTGAAACACCCTGTATATCACATAACAAGCTTTTACTTAGTTTAACATGTCCTTGTGTCTGTTTGTAATCAAATCACTTTAAATCGTCCGATTGATTTGAAATTTGGCAAGTAAATATTATTCCGGTGACAATTCGTTGTGATATTATTATTGAATGGAAAAAACAGAATGGCGGATAAAATATGGCGGACGATTTTCTCATTGATTATGTTCCGATTCGAATCAAAATTCAATATTCAAGATGGGGAATCCAATGTGGCATATGGTTTTCTGATTATGGTCTGATCTGATTCAAAATTGGCATCTGATGGATTTCGGGATCAGAGATTATAATTCCTTTGGTCGAAAATGAAAAATCCAAGATGTCGGCTTCAAAATGGCGGACGAGTTTTGTGATTATAGTCCGATTTTATTCAAAATTGATTACTATGGGACTTTCGGGGTCGGAGAATATGATTTTTTTGTAAAAATTCGAGAATCTAACACGAAGGCTCCAAAATGTCGGACGAAAAAATTCAAAAACATCACTTTGTTGAAAATAAGAAAAAACTGAACAATTGAAAATAAAAAACGTGAAGAGATGACATTTTGTTTTTCTTCAGAAAATAACTTACATTATTGTTCTATAAGTCGAATTGACGTACTGGAATGTACGTCTTTAAGACGTCTTTTATACGACATGGGAGGAACGACATGGATACGACCTAAAATGTACGGCTTAAAGACGTAAATTCGTGTACGTCTTTAAGATGTACGTGGATTTACATCTTAAAGACGTACTTTATACGTCCCTGGACGTAAAGACGTAAGTAAGTCGTAAAATGTACGTCTTTAAGATGTCTGGTGCTGATTGGGACGTTATATCTCATCTTCAAAGTACTTTACTTAGGCAAAACTCAGAGACTATTTATCCTCAACGAACTAACCTATCCCTGATTGCAATATTTTTGAGGAAGGAAAACCGAATGGAGTGTAGAAACACATTGATTAATAATATATTTCAAAAGTTGAGTTCTTCAACAAAATTGAATAAAATGAGACTGTTTATCCTAAACGCACTAACCTATTTGACTTCAAATATTTTATGAAAAAGGAATACCAGAATGAAGTAAAAAAACATTGGTGAAAAAAAAAGTTGCAAAAAAAGTTCGAGTTCACAGCGATTCGAACCGCGAACCTTCAGACTGAGAGTCGACAGCGCTAACCAGTAGACCATTTGGGTGTATGAATTTACTGCGTACAAGAGATTGACAACGAGAAAGCTTCAGTTCTTGCGTTGAAGCACAGTATGAGATATGACGTATTATGGTGGGCGTGGTTTGTGCTGCAATAGTTTATATTTAGTAAAATCGCAAACGGGCCGCGATTTTACTAAATATACTGTACGCTAGCACAAACCACGCCCACCGTAATATCTCATCTTCGAAGTACTTAGGCAAAACTCAGAGACTATTTATCCTTATAACGAACTAACCTATCCCTGATTGCAATATTTTTGAGGAAGGAAAACCGAATGGAGTGTAGAAACACATTGATTAATAATATATTTCAAAAGTTGAGTTCTTCAACAAAATTGAATAAAATGTGACTGTTTATCCTAAACGCACTAACCTATTTGACTTGAAATATTTTATGAAAAAGGAAAACCAGAATGAAGTAAAAAAACATTGGTAAAAAAAAAGTTGCAAAAAAAAGTTCAAGTTCACAGCGATTCGAACCATGGACCTTCAGACTGAAAGACAGCGCTAACCAGTAGACCATTTGGGTAGGTATATGAATTTATTGCGTACAATAGATTGACAACGAGAGAGCTTCAGTCGAATTCGTGTCAAAATCATGAATAGTGTATTCTTGCGGTTGGCATGGTTTGTGCTAGCGTGCAGTATATTTAGTAAAATCGCAAACGGGTCAGGTTAAAGTATAGTAAAGAGCATAGGGCTAGAACTTTTACAATGAGTCCCTTATACCGGGTGGCTACGGAAGTATTGCCTACGGAATATCTCAGTTATTGTATGGAGTAGGTTTGTGAAATTTGGAGCGTCGATATAATGACATTAGAGCTAGACTTTGAGCATATTGACATGTCGAAGTTAACTTTCGGTCTGACCGGAAGTAACATCAACTTTCTTATTTTAAATGGAAACAATATTTTTTTTTCTTTTCGCTTTATTCAGCATCCAATTCCCTTTCTAATGACATATCACAAGTTGGTATCCAACCAGAAACTAGATCAGAAAGAAATTATTATTGAAATTCACCGAGTAGGCCGTGGAAGCTAACTTCGACATTTCAATGTGCTCAAATTCTAGCTCTTATGTCATTATATCGACGCTTCAAATTTCACAAACCTACTTCATACAATAACTGAGATATTCCGTAGGCAATACTTCCGTAGCCACCCGGTATATAACGTAGGAACGACGGAACGGGCAGTCTGGCAATCTGCCAGGGGTGGCCTTAGCGCCGGTTGAATTTGATTCAGTATCTTCAAATACCCCCATAAAAAGTGGAACCGGTAATTTCAGAATCAAAATTCCGTGAGGAACACCTTGCCAGATCATCGTCCATCCTCCGGAGGTGGAAGCATCTTATTTTTCATTCAATTTCCGAAGTTTTCGAGAAGTTATCGATACTTTTTTTATATTCAGGCCTACATTTTGAACATTTCAAATGTATTCATTGCGAAGGGGGGTCAATATACTATGTTCTCTTCCGATATAGTCTGAACCATAAGAAATAGTCATATAGGGTTTCATCAGAAATATCACCTAAAATTATTTTCATCTCTATGGGGTGTTCGAATTCTACGATATACGCTCTTGATGAGTTTTTCAAGTGGGACACCATGTATGCAAGTGCCTATTCAAATGCACCAATAAGATTAATACACAACAATTCTTCTCTCTTTATGATTTTGGATGTATGGTTGCTAAAATATTCAATATTTCCCGCGATTTTGCAGAGTCCTATAAAAAGCTATAGTGAATTTATTTTGAACTTCATAACAAAAGAAATTAACATCAGTGGACTACAAGATGTATGCCCATCAGTTCTGGATAATCAGTTCGAAATACATATATACGCTTGATGAAAATTCAATTGTTGAAAATTAAAGTGCGAAAATGATTATTTTCAATGGAACATCCTGATTTCCAGTTCCAGATTCAAATTACCTATATTCTCTTGTCAAGTAATGTTGACTCGATAAAACTAGATCCAAATATGGAAACTTCGAACACAAATATCTTCGTAATCGTTTAATATAACCCTATTAAGCCCGCGGTGTGGTTGAATTGGCTATGATAATCTCTAATCGATTATAAAAAACAATATTTACATAGTGTCCCACTGATAAATCGAAAGTTAGGGTAATTTTCGGTCGAACCGGAATAGATAATCTGATTGATTGTTAAATTGATATGTATGCAGATTTTACCAGAGCTCTTGAACGAAACAATTAACACGAATAAAGCTTTGGAGAATATCGTGAGGATGAGCTGGAAATTAAAATATTCGAGATGATTCGAGCAACTAGCAGCCATTATGTCATCGGTCGTTGCTCAAATTACTCTCTACGGCTACGGGCAATAGAATTGCTACGGCTGGTGGAGTCTCCTTCCCTCGAGAGAAGAAATTACTTTTACTTTCTGGCGATGCTGGGCGTCGTCGAGCGACTATCATTACCAATTTGCACTGGCTAGGCCGAAGGTGACCTTGACCTGGATCTCGGTCGCGATCGCGCCTGCACATATATTCCAAGGTCGCACGGATTTCATCTGATATGTCATTATTCAGTACGGAATGTGTAGTCGTTACCGAATGAGAATTCATTCAGTTATATTATCTGATATGGTATTCATCTCCACAACTTTTTTTATTGATGTAATATATTCAGGGGGACATGTTTCGGATTGATAAAAATCCATCTTCAGCCAAAACAAGACAGTGGGTACTACAAAGAGAATCATAACATCATACGATATTGGAGATTTGTGTTTTCCTCAATATTGTGTGACGCTATGATTCTCTTTGTAGTAATGGTAGTAATGTATGTTTGGGCTGAAGATGGATTTTAATGAATCCGAAACATGTCCTTCTGAATAGTTTACATCTATGAAGAAGTTGTGGATGTGACTTTGAGCGTTCCTTCCTTTCTTTGAAATATTCCACTCCACTTTGAGCAATCATGAACTTCAAACATGGACTTCTACAAGATATTGATATGCCATTATTCAGTACGGAATGTGTATTCGTTACCAAATGAGAATCAATTCAGTTATATTCTTCGAACATGAATACTATTGTCTCCTAGCCTAAACTCCCTGGTTATAGACAAAATGTTCACAAGTATTAGAAAACTGCCAGTGATCTCTGACATTATTTATTTAATGAAAATCTTGAGCGGATTCAAGACATATTTCGAACCTATATAGGTTCATCATCACCTAATGTTAAAAATTCCACAAAACACTCAGAGAAATGGTCGATAGTAAATACCAAACGTTTAGTGAAATAGGTGCCAGTCACTACACTCATTGAATAATACCACAACAAAATTGTATGATAGTATACTATAAGTATCATACTATTTTGTAGTGGTAATACTTCTACTTCTACTTCTATTCCAGAATAATGTCCACAATTGACGCTTCTCTTCACACAAAAACATTATATCAAATCAGGATAAAAATCGCCGATTCTCAAAAATATCTGCCTGCGGCGTGATCTTTGCTGGCTTTGCTCACTTTGTAATGAGAACGAACTATTGACAAACGATTTGAATCATCCTGAGTGACGAAATAACTATTTTCTCTCACTAAAAAAATTTCCGAGTTAGAAAATTAATTTTTCAAACAGTTTCGCAAAATCGCAATCCTATATTTGAGGTCCTTCCTTACACTACGCCGTGTTGAATTGTGACTGAGTATCAACATTGGCTGAGAAAAAAGAAAGCTAAAGAAAAGTTTCAAAGATCTATGTATATAGGCTTTGTATATACACAGAAAAATAGAACAAAAATGTAGTGTTTATAGTTAGCTAATGATAAAATAAATGACGAGATTTTGTTAGATAGTTATGGTGATAGATAAATAAAGGAGATTGACAAACAAGTTTAATATTATTATCAAAATAATATTGGGATAAAAGACTAACAAACATAACAGAACATTATATTTTGGCGACGAGATGTCGAAGAATCCCCAGTGAAACATATCGTCGATATAGAAAACAGGCCATATCCAAGAAATATTGAGAACAAAAACTGACAACAAGGTTTGACAAGAGCTGTCGTCAATTAATCAACGCAAGCATTTTTTTTTCGTGAACAGAATAAAAATGGAACTATTTGGAAACATTGAGGCTTTCTGTTGGGTGGCTCAGTATATTATACAATTCAATTATTTCATTATTGATTGTCTTGTCAGATATTAGATGACAGCATTATTATATGTTATAAGTTATTCAATAAAGTATTGAATTTGAACATATAGCAGCAGTTATAACAGTGGCGACGAGGATATTGGACAATCATCATGACCGAAGCATTCCAAAAATCTATAATGGAATTCATTAAGTCTCAACAAATTCAAGCTCAGAAACAGCAAGAGCAACTAATGAAAAACCAACAGGAGTTTCTTCTTCAGTTCTCAAAGAGCTTTTCAGATAATCCCGGTATCAAAAGCCAGGAAATCAGTGAAGAAATTCGCATGGAGACTTTGAGCAATGGCATTTCAGAATTCCATCATGATCCGGATAACAATATTACATTCGAAAATTGGTACAAACGATTCGAAAGTGTGTTCACAGAGGATGCTCACAAGCTTTCAGATGCAGCTAAGGTACGACTTCTTCTAAGAAAACTGAATACTCAGTGTCATCAGCAGTATATCAACATAATTCTACCACAAGAATCAAAAGAAATCAATTTTGAAACTACTGTAAAAAAATTGAAATCTATGTTTGGTTCAAAGCATTCAATTTTCAACATACGCTATCACTGTATGAAGTTGCAAAAATCTATTGAAGAAGATTATATGGCCTATGCAGCGAAAGTGAACAGATTTTGTGAAGATTTCAAAATACGAGACATTAGTGCTGACGAATTCAAGTGTCTCATATTTATTTGTGGTCTTCAATCAGGTTCAGACGCTGATGTTAGAACAAAACTACTTTCAAAAGTAGATGGAAAAGACGCAGAAACATGTACTCTCCAGGATCTAACAACTGAATGTCAGCGTATATTAAATATCAAAAAAGACACAGATATGGTTGGAAACCCAAGTTCATCGAATGTGCATGCAATTTCAAGAAAGCACAAGTTCAACAACTTCAAGAAGGGTTCCCATCCTATTTCAAATCAAGATTCTAATAAGACTGTTCCAAAAACTCCATGTTGGTTCTGTGGTCTCATGCATTTTTCGAAAGATTGTTCCTTCAAGAATCATAAATGCCGAGATTGTCACAGAATCGGACACAAAGAAGGGTATTGCAGAACAACATTCGACCTACTTTTCCCACCTTGTGAAAACAATTCCTCAAACAAAAATTCGGATCTACATAACAGAAAACAAGGATCAAAAATGAGAGTTTTCAATAATGGTGACGAAGTTTTTTGTAAAATACATCATGGAAATGATTTTACATGGAAGCCTGGTAAAATCATAGAAAAGATGGGGAAGGTGATGTATAATGTCTTGATGGAAGAATTTAAGAGAAATCAGTTGATCAGAGCTCATGTCAATCAATTGAAACCCCGTTTCACTCAAATCAAGGATGATGAGAACTCTCAAAATCAACTACCATTCTCAATACTTTTGGATTCATTCGAAATCAAGAAGCCTAATACAACATCAGAAACTATAGCACCTGCCGATCTCACTCATCAAGAAAATTCAGAGGAGAACATTATCATGGCATCTGGATCTAGTGTGAGCAAAGAGCGCGAACCATGTAGACCTACTAGAGAAAGAAGACTTCCAAGTTACTTTAATGATTTCAAATTATGAGAGGGAGGTGTTGGGTGGCTCAGTATATTATACAATTCAATTATTTCATTATTGATTGTCTTGTCAGATATTAGATGACAGCATTATTATATGTTATAAGTTATTCAATAAAGTATTGAATTTGAACATATATCAGCAGTTATAACACTTTCAATGTAGTGTCCAATATGGAGAATGTTGGAATAAGATGGCAGAGGTGGATCAAAAGGTTCGACAATTTCCTAACAGCGTCAGGCGTCGCCGAGGATGCACGGAAAGAAGCTATGCTTTTACATTGTATAGGTGAAGAAACATTCGAAATATTTTGTTCCCTTCCTGAACCCACTATAGTAGCAGATGATCCTGGTTCTTCAAAATATGAGAAAGCAAAAATGAAACTGAATAATCATTTCATTTCTAAAGTTAACGAAGAATTTGAAATATTCAATTTTCGACAAGCGAAACAAATGTCTGGCGAATCAATTGAAGAATATTATGCAAGATTGTTAAAACTGAGCATTAATTGTAATTTCGTGGACAAAAACAAGGAGGTGAAATCTCAAATCATTCAACATACAGTATCATCTAAACTCAGACGCTATGCAATGAAAGAGAATCCTACATTGAATCAGCTTCTCACCCAGGCAAAGTTATTTGAAGTAACAGAAACACAGGTTAAACAAATGGAACGCAGGGAAGTAGAAACAGTTTCTAGAATAAAACATGAAAAAGCCAAATATTTTGAACAAAGCAGAAATGAACATTATACAAACAAGAACGGAATACAAAAAAAATCATCATGTATGAATTGTGGAAATGAATGGCATTCCAGAGGAAGAATATACTGTCCAGCATACAAAGTGATATGCAATTTTTGTGGAAAGCAAGGACATTTTGCTAAAGTATGTATTACCCGCAAAAAAGAAACAGAAAAAGAAGAATATTCATCGAGAAAACAAACGCAAAGTACAAGTAAACAGACTCAAAAACAAGTCAACTTCAATGACCAAAACACAGATGGGAATAGTGAAAGTTCTGATGAATTTTCATTTCATCTACAAGTAAACAACATGAAAAATCTACCAATAGCAACAGTTAATTTGAATGGAAAGATGATATCATTCATCATAGATACTGGAACATCCGTCAATTTGATAAGTTCAGAAACGTACGGTATTTTTCCCGACCAACAGCTAAGTGATGGTAATAGTAGCATCTTTCCATACTGTTCCAATAAGAAACTTGATCTTCAAGGAAAGTTCGTTGGAAAATTTAGCAATGAACATTGCGAAGTTGAAGCTGAAGTTTTTGTAGTGAAAGGTAGCTGTGAATCACTCTTGAGCTATGAAACATCATTGAAGCTTAACCTTATCAAAATGGCATTCAATATGAACACGAACATCAGTCTGAGTTATGTCGAAGAAAAGTATCCCAACATCTGCAGAGGCGTAGGAAAATTGAAAGGTTTAGAAATCAAACTGCATATTGATGAAGCCATTGCACCTATAGCACAAAAACATCGTCGAATACCATTTCATCTGCGTGAGAAAGTTGAACAAGAAATAAGGCGTTTGGAAATTGATGATATTATTGAACCAGCAGAAGGTCCAACACCTTGGGTTTCACCTTTAGTAATTGTGCCTAAACCTAAAAATCCTGAGGCGATTCGTATGTGTGTGGATATGCGTGCACCAAACAAAGCGATACTTCGAGAGCGAAGTATAACCCCAACAGTAGATGACATCATTCAACAAGTTAATGGAGCTGTATTATTCAGCAAAATCGATTTGAAAGATGGATATCATCAATTACCACTAGAGGAGAAATCGAGATATATTACAACATTTTCAACGCACATAGGACTGTTCAGATATAAAAGATTAAGTTTTGGTATAAATGCAGCAGCTGAAATTTTTCAAAACACAATACGACAACTTCTCATCAATATACCAGGTGTTGTCAACATAAGTGATGATATATTGATATATGGAACAACAGTAGCTGATCACAACAGGTCACTGGTAAAAGTTTTATCGAAGTTGAATGAATCAGGCCTAACTATAAACAAAGCTAAATGTATTTTCAATGAAAAATCCATCACATATTTTGGTTACGTTTTTTCACATCAAGGAATACATCCAGATCCACTCAAAGTTAGAAGTTTTGTCAATTTGCAGCCACCTGAGAACCAGAGTGAAGTTCGTAGCTTGCTAGGGATGTTGAACTACGTTGGAAAGTTTCTACCAAATCTTGCAGAAAATACCAAATTATTGAGAGATTTAACACTGAAGAATTCAACCTGGGAATGGACACGGAAACACGATGAAGTTTTCAACTTCTTGAAGCAGCAACTCAACGATGCAACAAAATTGGCTTATTTTGATATCAACAAACCCACACATTTGAGAGAGAAGAAACTGGACCAAAAGAAATACGCTGACAATAGACGACATGCAACCAAGCACCAATTCAAAGTTGGCGATCAAGTTTTGTGCAAACAATTGAAGCAACATTCGCTTTCACCTGTTTTTGATCCAAACTATTATAAAGTTATTAAAGTTAGCGGTACCAAGATCACCGCGAAAAGAGGAGAGAAGATAATTGAGAGAAATGCCTCTTTCTTCAAGGTTTTCAAAGCAAGTCCAGGTTCAGAATCATTAGTGCCTACTGTACCCCTCACTCCCTGTTTGTCTCGTCATCCATGCCAAGGAAAAATTCGGTTCAGATGCTTGTTCCCTGATAATCAGATGATGGCAGAAGCTGGCAATGGAATAGAAGTTGGAAGACAGCAGCATGATGAAGTTATAGAACGTGAAAATAATGTTCACGCATCTGATGATAATGGTATATATCCACGAGTTGACCGTCCAGCCAGGCAGGCTAGAAAACCATCATATCTTGATGACTTTATATGTAATTAATAGTTGAAAAAAAAATAACGATGTAGTGTGATGTATTTGATTCATTCATGAAAAGTTTTTGATACTACTGATGTTTGGTATGTTCATTATTTGAAAGAGAGGAGAAAATGTAGTGTTTATAGTTAGCTAATGATAAAATAAATGACGAGATTTTGTTAGATAGTTATGGTGATAGATAAATAAAGGAGATTGACAAACAAGTTTAATATTATTATCAAAATAATATTGGGATAAAAGACTAACAAACATAACAGAACATTATAAATATATTCTGGATAAAACTGCAGGTGAAATTTGAAATCAGTGATAAAAACCTTCGAATCTTTAAGGAAACAAAGTCAAAAAAATAACTATTTTTCAACATATTATAGAGCCTGATTTCTTATAATTTCTCATATAGCATCATATAAGTATCTAGTTCTGTGAAGCGGCTTTAGCCAATGATACGAAAGGATGTCCTGACTCGGTTTTTCGAGTACGAATTGCTGGTACTGCTAGTGATGATGGTAGCAGAGATTTATGAAAAACATTTCCCTCTACCTATCCTCCCTATCCTCATTGGCACCGTTGATTTGCCTGCGTTGTGAGTTCTTAGTTTCCTGGGAAAGTGGAAGAGAACGCAAAATGAAGAGTTGATACTATCGTTTGCAGAGCTGAGTGGATAGGGCTAGTGGTCACTCCCAAATCACTGATATTCAATCGTAACAGATCATGGGTTTCGAGGAATCACTTGAAGAAGGATAATGCAAAACTCGAATGTTGATACAGAAACAATAATTTATTAATAAATAACTAAACCTTATTTACAAGCAGTCAGAAAATTTCAGTGGTAGTACGATGCAACAGGTGCGTTGTAGGCAACCTTAGCGATGGGGGCAGCAGCGTAAGCGACTGGTGCGCTGTATCCCAGTTTAGCAACAGGTGCGGCGTAAGCAACAGGTGCGTTGTAGGCGACTTTAGCGACCGGCGCAGCAGCGTAGGCAAGTTTAGCGACAGGAGCGGCGTAGGCAACAGGTGCCGCTACCTTAGCGACCACGGCCTTCTGGACGAGAGGCTCCCTGTGCACGACGGCGTTGAATCCGTGAACAGGGTCGGCTGTGTACTCCACGGTCCTCCTGAAGCCGTCAGCGTCCACCAGGGAGTAGCTGCCTTGGACGACGTCGCCGTCGCGCGATTCTTGCTGGTTCTTGTTGTCGCCGGTAAGGCCGTCCTGGATCTCGTAGGCGTAGTTGTACTGCGGGTGGGGGTCGTAGTCGTCGCCTACGACGGTCTTGGCTACGGCAAGGGGGGCGGGGGCGGCGTAGGAGAGTTGGGCGGCGGGCAGGAGACCGGCTTGGGCGGCAGCCACTAGGGCAGCGAATGCGATGAACTGGAAAAGTAGGGCGTTGTTTAGTTATATATATGTTTATATATCATGAATGTGTCATCGTTTGAAAACCTCGATATCATCCATATACCTTCTCAGGCCGTAACTATTCATAGAATTCATTCACATTTAATATATATTCAATTATATCTCAACAGCTGAATTTCCCATTGAAAATTTACTGGGATTGAATATTAGTTGAATGGGATTCTATGAACGCATCTAAGTCAAAGGAATGCTCGAATTAAGATGAGTCGAAATTAAGTATATTTCAAATATAAGTTATTTATATGAAGACCATTAATAAGTTTGCGTTTTATTGCTTCAAACGGAGTTTAAACTGCCATTTACACTGCCATTTACACTTCCACCCAATTTGATAGCCGAAATGAGATGATTCGGAGAAGTATTAGTCTAATTTATTTTTCACAATGATCAATTTGGAAGGACTTGGAATAAAGAACTAGTACATTATAATGAATGTATACATAATACAAGGCACAAGGCAATGTATAATATGATTATGATGATGATGACATATTATTGTAAAAAGAATAAGAATAATGTAATCTAACTTCAGACTATTTCTGATAAAATTCAAAGAACAAGTTATTGAGCAATCAAGTTTCCTTTGTTTTCACTATTTCAATATTATAGGATATGATTGCAGAATGAAGACAATTTTTAATCATTTCATGGTAAGAATAGTGGCAGAAAGCGAATTTTGACCAGACTAATGCGAGTTTGTGAATACCTGACTACGAGGAGGAATCTTGTATCTTGTCTATTTCAATGTCATAATAAGCAGACTATTTCAAGTATTTTGCAACATTGATATTATATGCTGATCATCTAAGACAATGTAGGTCTAACATAGTTTGGTAAATTTTTCACATCAATTCATACAAAAATATTAGAATTTTTGACTTCATACCTTGAATGCCATTTTGGATTGTTGAGTATGTGTCTAGACGAAACTAACTGAGCCAACTGTGATGCAAAGCCTACCCTCGTACCTTTTTATATTCTCAATAATTGTGCTCCAATTTCTTAATATCACCGTGACCTTGCTCTGATGAAAATAATTGCACTGGCATCGCCCATCTGTACCTCTTGTGGTACCACTTTCGTTTTCGTTTTATTTGCGATATCGATAGGTCGTACCTGGCGACTTTGGAATGTAAACCGTTAAACATATGAAGTGCCCCCGAAATGTCACTGGGTTCAAAATTTCACTGTTAGAAACCAAACGGAGAAATACGATAGATAGTCAGTGATATCTAGTTTGATGATGAAGAATGTTAGTATATACATTAGTAATTTCACCCATCTCTCTGAGATGTTTTGAAATCAATCTGGTATCATTTCCAGCATAAATCGCAGAATTAATCTTCGCAAATTCCTCTCGTTCTCGTATTGCAACTTCTCACTGAAAGAAGATGACAGAAATCAGTTAGTCACTGGATGTTTTTATTAATCAATCTCGTTCCATCTGTCGGCGTCAGACAGTGAAATCCGTCATTTCCTGAAATGCTTAGTCATTTCAGGTACTGCCGGCAAACAGCGTAACTTATTCCATTTTTAGCCGTTACTCTGTTTGCCGGATGGTTGAGAAATATCATTTCTGCATAAGCATGAAAAATGAGACTACTTTTCCTTAACGAAATCTAGCCAAACATGGCCTAAATAAACCTTCTTCCAAGGGAGTATATTTTTCGAAAAATCACGTGAAAGAAAAGAGACTACTGTTTCTGAACAACCTAACCTGATTCGGCCTCAATGAACCTTTCTTCTGTCATTACAGGGAATGCCTGAAACTATTAGGTAAACCGTGTACAAAAGTAAGAGTTACGCTGTTTGCCGGCAATACGTGAAATGACTAGGCATTTCAGGAATTGACGGGTTTCACTGTTTGACGCCGACAAATCCATATTTACTATGAGCAAGAACCAACGTTATTGTCTCCGTTCAGAAGAATGAAAGCCTATTCTTCAATTTTGTTTTTGTTATTTCCTTTTCCTATTATTTTAATATCATCCAGTGAACTTTGATTGATCGATTTGTATCATCTTTATGTCATTCTTATATGTTCTTTCATCCTCACTGATAAGGGTCTCCTTTTGTTTCTTGTCAAATAAAATTCCACACTTGGGTATAACTCGTTTATTACTAAAATGTGAAGACCATCAAATATCAAATATTTTATGTGAAATCCAATGTCATTAGAGTTCTATTTTCGATGAGTTTAGTTGAATAAAACGCATTATATTGTTATGATATAAGTTGATTTTACTGGTAAATAAATATGGTTTATTTACTCACTGCATCGAAAGTAAGCGTTTGCTCCTGCATTAAAGGACACAAGCATGTCAATTTAAACCCACGGGAGTAAACAGAATTTTACCTCCCGTGGGAGGTAGAATAAATCGGCTTCAGCTTGCTTCCTTGTTAGAGATATATGTATAAGAACTGTGCTGCCCAAGTATCTAATCAGTGTTCCCTTCACTATTATTAAATGAACAATAATGTCCTTTTCAAACTCCAATACACTCATGCTCTTCCTAATTTTCCAAACTCACTCAATCGAAAGTCGAAACTTCAAATATAATGCAATATCACAATAAACAAATTCAATATGACAGAAGTGTCGAATTGATTTTTGTTAAGATTCAAATATACTGTCAATAATTGTCCATGGCATACTCTGTGGGCGCATACTACACTTTTATAACCTTAGATCATGTAACACATTGATTTGGATCGAGACTCGAGAGATAGACCGCTTTCAGCACAATTTTAAGATTGCGACGCTCTCAAATATATGCGTTCGTGAATAAAAACATATATTTATCTTTGGAGCAAAGGTTCTCCCATGTATATTTCAAACTTCACATGCGGGAGGAAATGGATACCTTTGCTCCCTTGATATACAAATATTTAATGATTTCAGCAATATCAAAAACATCAATTCGTTGTCGTCCATAACATCTGATATTACATGTCTACATAGTTTCAAATGAAACTGAGTGACTTTCGCCAATAGATTTTTTATTCGTCGAGGTAATTGGAATCTTTTATAAACATCATATGGGTCTAATCCTCCATTTGATATGACATGTGAGAGTCCCCTGAGTCCATCAGGGTATACCCACTGAACACTCCACCTCGTTTGTAGGCTCGTCTGATCGTTGTCTCCGACGACACTTTTCAATTTCACCATATTAGACTCATGGAGCTTGTTAAGGGCCATTTCAATATGAGAGACTTGCTTGTTCAGGTTCCGGAAGATTACTCTTTCGATCCCTGTTCTTGTCTGCGAAGAAGTCCAAAATTTTTCGTCTCCTAAGAGTGACGGGGAATGGGTTTGATCCAGCCCTGTGGTGCCCCCTGCACTGGGCTAAGGCTGTTCACTCTGAGATGTCGCTCTGTATCTCGAAGGTCTCGTAAGCGACACCAAACCTCGGTGCCATTCATCCATCGCCACGGGTTCCCACAGCTTGTATTAGGTTGCCAGAGCCTCGTTGACCAGTTCTTGGACACCTACAAAGATATCAGCAAATCGTCCCAATCAAAGATGGTTCAAAAATGATTCATTTGTTCAGCGTCCTCGGTCTGTCCTCCCCACACCACTTGATGGTGAGGTTGGGCTTGGAGGGGAAGACGAAAAGAGAAGTCGGCCAAGGAAGGCCGACAGGATGGATTGAAAAAGGAAGAAAGAAGAGGATATCACCCATGACAAGTTGAAGAATGGTGCATATCCAGCTAGGGTACCTCGAGTTAGGGCATCGCGAGACCAAGAGTCCAGTCTTGGTCTTGTCTTGGTATTGATGCAAGACCAAGACAAGATGAAATGAATTCATGGAATTGTCACCTTTATTGACCTACTCGAATGTAGTTTTCATATTATGTTTTGGAAGTCCAATTCTATACGTTCTAGGATTCATTCTTCCTTCTATATTAGTAAGGGATTGTTTTGCAACATTAAGATACCACCGTACATCTCAAAATGCTAAGCGATTCCGTACCAATGTTTACACTTCATTCCTGATATATTTTAAGGAAGTCGAAGTAATGGAGCACTTTGAGTATATTAGCCTTCGTAATGTTAACGTGCATTACATTGACAGATATTCTTTCAATAGATGGACGAAAAGGCTGTGGCTAGTAAACATATTTTCTTAGATAAAAATTCAAGATTCTTTGAATCTCCTAACTATGAAAAAAAGCCTACATTCGCAAATCTACCTAATGAAATGATCTGCAGCCTGAAGCACAGACCATTTCAGGTGTCAAGTAGTTTATTTTTTCTTGAATAGAGTTTTATATTTGAGGTTTAATATTTCTGAACGGATAAAAATCTGCGTGGGATGTTATGTCCTATATGGTATGATGTTAGATAATATGAATTAGATTATATCATAGGTTGACGAATTGTTATATCTGGACTAGAAATGGGTTTCTCACTATTGGATCATTTTAGTGCCAGTCAATGCAATGTTCATTCAACTCGGAGCACTCAAAGGAGTTTCATCATTTCAGTTGAAATGAAATCTTCTGGAGACTGTATAATAAGTCTATGGCTTTCTCTATTCGCCTCCTGAATACTCTATGGTGGCTTTTAATAGGAAATAACCTGGCTGGATTAACTAGAACAGATAATAAGCATGTCAACCGAACTTATCGAAATTGCAATAGAATTCAAACAAACGAGGTGGGAAGTGGAATTTCATCTATATCAGAAACAATTTTATCAATTTTATGGAAGCTCTTCGTACTACATCTCTCAATTATCATTATTGAACGCCAGGCAACAACATTGAAAAAGTATTGCATTAACATACTTCTGATCACTCTGACCTTGCCAAAAACAAACGCGGATCGACTATTGAATTCCAGGCATATTTTAGAATCCAATAGATTCAAATATTATTTTCATGATTTCTATTTACACACAGTCAAATTCTAATAACACCATGTTCATACAGAACAAAGGCTATGAGTGCGAATTTTATTTGAATTCATCAAAACCATGAAAGTTTAGTTGCGAAATTCAACAATGCTTCACGGGTGATAGCTGTAGTGGTATCTAATTATTTGCTACCAGTTTATTTATGTGTAGTTCGTGTTCACTGCAGTTTTTTTGTCACCAATAAAAATGTTGAATTTCATGTCAGTTCATATTAAATCAAATAAAATCATTACAAGTGGCAACGAGGAATATTGTTTTATTTTGAACAGTGCGAACAACGTAATTATTTCAAAATGACGGAATTTATCGGACATTTACTGAGTTTGGTAAAACTGCATTTAGCATGCGATGGGTTTTTTTTCGAAAATTTTTTTTGGTACTTACGTATTTTTGTCTGATAAACACGAATTTGATAATGAAAATGTGAACAAACCACTATTTATCGAGATATTTCAAAAAAAAGTTCGAAATTTCCACTCCTTTTTCCCCTTGCGTTGGATGCATTTTCAGGTACTTGCTCTTCTTATTTTGTCATTTGACACTTTATATACTCATGATGTACTTCAATGACACATTTTTATACAGAAAATTCAACAGGAAATATGATTTTTATGGTGGGTTTTTCCTATTTTTAGTGAGCAAGCATACCAGATGACGGCCATTTTATCCATAGGCAATCCAAATACGAGATGTCAAATGTCAATAGATTGCTTTGGAATGACATTACACACGCCATTATTTCAAATGATATTCTTCCTTCTTTTCAATAAATATGGATAAATCACAAGAAAATCATATTTCTAGTTGACTCAATAATAGAAAAAAATGTGTCTTACATTGTGATATATATAAATTGTCCAATGATGAAAAAAGAAGGGTGAATTGTTTAAAATTCAATCCAGAAGACAGGCGGAAAAAAAGGTGGAATTTGAAACTTTATAGTGAAATATCTTGATATATAATGGTTTGTTCACATTTTCATTATCAAATTCGTGTTTTTCAGACAAAAATACGTAAGTACCATAAAAAAATTTCGGAAAAAAACCCATCGCATGCTAAATGCAGTTTTACCCTGAGTTTGATCCCGCAGTAT